GGAGAAAAGAAATTTTAAACATTAAAAGCAGATTACGCAATTCTAAAGCAACCGATAGTTACCCCGGCATTATCAGCTCTTCGGGCACATTAAATGCACAATAGTAGGTCAAATGAGAGTTCTCGTAATCGGCGCTGCTGCGACAATCCATGACCAGCACAGAGTTCTGCTGCATGCGCTGGAAGAGTTCTTCACAGCTGATTAAACCCAATTGGGCATATGTCGGAGGGGTCGTGGCCAATGTGTTGGGCTCGCCTATTGGTTCCCCTGGCGGCAACGGCAAGTTCATCGTGTCTGCACCATTCTGACTTGCTGGCGGCATCAGCTGCTCATAGCGTGTGCTCAGAGATTTGCTAATGAGCTCCAGGGTGTCCATGATGCGGCGATTGGATTCCGTGTCGCCCAGCACTTGCCGCACTGTCAGTTTGTGTTGATTGTAATCCGATTTTTCGCGTATGGCCGCCAGCATATTGAAATACTTCACGTAGGTGATGTAGGCCAGCTCTTGGTCCCCATCCCGGCGATACTGCTCAGCGGTCAGGTACAGCTTACGAGCTGTGTTTAGTAAACTGCAATGTGATTAAATTTATTCAAGTTTGTTTGTCTTGTTGACATCAGCGAAAAATATTTGTTGCGCTCATATTCGGGTCTCTGCTGCAGCAACGAGGCGTCAGCGGTGTGGGGCGTTGCATTTGGTGTCGACTTACATTTTCATGCTCTTGTTACGCACGTCTTTTATCTCTGTCCACTTCTCCAGATCTTCTAATTTGTCGGCCATGTGCAGTTTCTTTAGTTGCGCCATTCTTTGTCCTATGTGTGAATGTGTGTGTGTGTGTGCGGGGCAGAATCGAGTGTTTGCTAATAAAGGGCTTTTTATGTCAGTCCCGTGGCCGCAACTTTATGTGGGTGCTGCCGCCTGTGAGGCACAGTTCGTGTGTTTGCCAAACAGTAATGTTAATTAACATAACAGCGACAGAAACATTAACGTTCACTAAGCAAACAACATMTGTTCYTTTAGCAAGATCGAAAATGATTWCAAAGTRCACTTACTACGCTCAATTTAGATCTAATTAAAGCATAGATTTAGAAAATGTAGAACGACGACACACGACGGCTTGCGAAATTTATCGATAGCCAGAAACAGCTGTGCCATTATAATGTGGTGGTCTGTCGATATAGTAGCTCAATTAATCGAG